GGGATCAGTGGGTTGTTATCACTGTGGGACACTTTGTGTTGTATTTGAGTACTTCAGCCCTGTAAGTAGCCAGGCAGAATATGTCCTGCTCAGCTCAAGGATGGTGCCACCTTAGGCTGGTGCAAAACTGATTATATCTATCCATACTTTAAATCTCCTGAGGAATTTTTTTAAGTATTCTATTGGTGCTGTTTCCTTTTTATGGTTCTTGGGTTTATTTATGGATTACTTACTGGGTGAATTATTGAGGAGACATGCTGAGATGTACCAATTGCCCTCACAAATTCCTGATGTTCATACATGACTATTCTGGAAGGGAGGATAAATGGTGTTGGAAGTAGAGATTTTGAACTGATTACAGATGGAACTGATAATTCTCCTTACACTTAAGTTGCTTCAGTTATTTTTGTTAGAACCTGTTATTGAGTTGCTTGTAACTGTGCTAGACTTCATCTTCTTGGGCTGAGTGTCTGCAGGCTGAGATCATATTCTGCTGATAAAATTTAATCTAACTAGAGAAGTAATTAGGTTTTCTCTAATAGAATCAAGTGATTCTAACTAAGCACTCAGTTTTCCTCTGGAACGTGACATTTTGCTGAGGTGTTACCCTGAGATCAGGGATGCATTTACTTTTTCAGCTTTTTGGAGTAATTTTTTAAATCCCCATTATAGGGACTTCAAAAATGCAAAGCCAAACATCCAAACCTTGGGAAAAGCCAGAATAGTACACTTGAACCTAAATGGGTAAAAGGCAAGAGCAAGGCTACTCTCTTGCTGACTGAGAAGAGCAACGAGGCTGGTGAAGGAACTCGAGCACAAGTGCCATGAGGAGAGGCTGAGGGAGCTGGGGCTGTTCAGCCTGGAGAAGAGGAGGCTCAGGGGAGACCTTATCACCCTCTGCAACTCCCTGACAGGAGGTTGGAGTCAGGTGGGGGTTGGTCTCTTCTCCCAGGCAACCAGCAGCAGGACAAGAGGGCACAGACTCAAGCTCTGCCAGGGGAGGGTTAGGTTGGACATTAAGAAGAATTTCTTTGCAGAAAGGGTGATTAGACCCTGGAATGTGCTGCCCAGGGAGGTGGTGGGGTCAGTGTCCTTGCAGGGGTTTAAGGACAGACTGGATGTGGCCTAGTAACCACAGTAGGGTTGGACTTGATGATCTTGGAGGTCTTTTCCAACCTGGTTGATTCTAAGACTCTATGACTCTCACAGTCTTGCTGCTCATAAAGCTGAGTTCCAGCCTAGAGAACTGAGTTCTGTATTCATGAATAATTTTAGAAGGAACCCTTCTTTAGAATGCTAAAAAAAAGCACTTTAGTCAAGCTCTTGGCAACAAATCATGTGTTTGTTTTGTTTTGGATGTCAGCATTGTCGGCAAAGATCAGATGTGCCGAGCGGTCTCTGCAGCTGCTGTGGAAATCAGCTGGAGCTGTGCCTTGGAGCTCAAGAGCACTATGAAAATGCAAAGTACAACTGTGCTTCATCTTACGGCATAGACATAGGAGCTCAGCACTTAGAGCAATTAAGAGATAATAAGGACAATAAATAGAACCAGTGTAATGCTGGTTCATGCTATGCCTTCCAAACCAGTGCTCTATTCATGAACTCTTTGACATTCAGTTTCTTCTGTTGATGTACACTTGTGGCATTTATGTTGTTAAACTCTGAGTGTGAATTAGGAAATATATTGAAACCCTTTAAAGGTACTTGTGAAGCAAACGAAGCCAAATGTTGGCAGTATCTCAGTGCACCTCTGTGTCATTGAGTCCATGGGAAGGTTTAATTAAAGCACTGCCTCTATGATGCAGATGTCTTGATGGTCTGAATAGTTACTAATCTCCTAAGTGAAACAGATCTGAATCTACTTGTTTCTTCTAAGTGTAACAGATCTGAATCTACTTGTTTCTTCTTTGCTTTGTACCCTCTCCACCTGATGATGTTGTTTGTGTGTTTTACTGTAAGGACAGGACTTTGTCCTGAGAAGGAAAGTCTCTTCCTCACTTGTTTTAAATCCCTGTAAGCAGCCATACAGCTTGCAGCTGCAAGGAGTCCTCAGTCCATCCTGGTGCTCCATGATTGTGCATTCACCATCCCTGGAGGTTTTCAAGCTGAGACTGGATGTGGCACTAAGTGCCATGGTAGGGTTGGACTTGATGGTCTTGGAGGTGTTTTCCAACCTGGTTGATTCTATGATTCTATGAATATGCATTGCTTTCTGCAGTGGTCAATTTATGCCTTTTCAGTTAAAAATAATACTTTTAAAAAAAGAGAGGGGAGGGGGAGAAACCAGTCTGGTTTGGCACTGTTAAAATAATGTTCTGATGTGACAAACTGGTGGAATCTTCCACCCCTTTAGGTGTTTTGGAACTTTAGGACTCAGCTCATCCAAGTGTGAAACTTCACATTGGAATATTTAGGTTGAAAGGCAGACAGGTCTTGTTTGGGGAGGGATGAAGAGTATGCTTGGTTGGGTGTTTTCTATACCAGCTTCAGTGGTTATTTTTGGAGTGAAGATGTGGCTCCTTCAGCTATTTTCAACAGGAACAAGTGCTTACGGTTAAGTGATCGCAAACCCAACACTGAGAACCTTCTCTACAGCAATCAGTTCTAGCAGACAAGGCTGTCAAATGTTTCTGATGAGATGTGAGTTGTCTACAGATAGTGGCTTGCCTGTTTCAAAACCTCAGCAGGTGATAAATGCATTAATCTGAAACTCCCAAAAGCTCCAGAGCCATTTTCACTCATGATGCTTTAACTGAATTCACAGTCTTGGTGGTGCGAGTAAGCAAACATTGACTGCTCTGACAATGTTTCTGTGCAATGCATGTGAAGGTACTGTATCAAAACATGCATTAGGTTCACTTTACTGTCCTGAATCCCAAAAGGTTTTGCACTTATTCAAAATTAATACACGGCATAGTAACCCCATGTTAAAATTCACTCTAATTGAAGAGCCAGACCCCTCCATTGGAATTCACCTCCATTGGTCCCTGCCACTGAATTAGTGGTTTCATTTATTTAAATGTTGCTCATATTGCAGATGTTAGGAGGGGAAATCACAAGCCCTGAGCTGCTGCCTGGCTGTGCTGCCTCAGCCCTGTGCCTGAGCACTCTAACAGGCAATATATACACCATGTGTATAGTGAGGTTTTGGGTTTTCTTGAATCTGATGGTAGTTCTGTCTTCTCCAGACAGATGTGCCTCCTTTCTGGGTCTGTCAGTGATCTGTGCAGGCTGGACAGGTTTTTATGTAGGGCCCCTGTGGCAGTCATGTAGCTGCTCCCATTGCTGTGCCTCTCCCTGGCATGGGTTCCTCTCCTCATCAGAACTGCAGTTCCCATGAGTTTTCTTGCTCTGGCATCTGCAGTAGACACACACTTCCCCCTGTTGGGATTTTCCTTGTGTCTCCTGCAGCCCTGAAGAACCCATCGAGGTTTTATGTCTTTGAAACCCCTCCCTATTCCTGCATTTCCACATTGTTCCTAATGTTCTTTAGACAAAAAAGGACAAACTGTGACCTTGGCTGATGAATGAATCAGCTCCCTTTGTCTGCCCAGAGATAGCCTTGGAGCATGGCAGAACTTAAGGGCATATTTGTACCCTGCAGTGTGGTTAAAAATATCTGAGCTGATTCCAAGTAATCTGGTGTGTTCGTGCAGTATTCCTGGCCTGGTGCTGGGCCAGGATGTAGGTGGCTTTGGGCAGGGTTGGCTCTGAGAGGGCATCACTGGTGCTGTGGCTGTGTGTTCTCACTCCTGGAGGTACTGCTATGTCCCTGGGTGGTGCTGGGTGTGCTGTGTTTGCTCACACAGCACAGGCACAAGGCTGAGTACTGACTATTCATGTCTTACCCAAGCTCTTACTGTGGTTGTTCTGCTACCTGTGGGCTTTTATTGTCAAGGCATTAAGAGATGCAGAGAAGAGCATAATCTTCCCAAATTTTGTAACAGCTCTGAAACTGCATCTCTATAACCTTTGGCAAATGTCTTTGCCCACACTCAGGTGACAGGAGAGCTAGGCTACCTAACCAGGTTTCCTTAGAAAGTTTTGAAGAGTGGCTGTACAATCTGAGTTAAGTTTGTATTCTCCAGTGGTTTGTCCTTGTTAGAAACACTTAGATTGATGTCCTCACAGCTGGGCTGACTCTCAGCATAAGCAAAGGTTTCAGATCTGAGAGTTTACTACCACTAAAAAGGAGCAACCTTCTCACATCTGCATTGCTCAGCTCAGGATAGCAGCAGCACTTGTTGGACTCTGATACCACTGCTTAATCCAATGGAAAGATATCCACCAAAAACCCCATCCCATCCCCATGCCCTAAACTTCCACCCCAGCCTGGGTATTCTCTTGCTGTCTCACAGAAACTTTTCAGCAGGCTGAACGGGATGGTTTTGCACAGCAAAAGGGAGAGAAAGAGAGAAGCAGATAAAGACTAATGGAAGGGCCTGGGATCTCCCCTTCCAGGAGCAGTGAGGTTGGAAGGACAGAGGTGCTTTCCACTAAGATCAGATGCCCACATTTCTTGTGTTTTGTCTTGCAGAAATAGTTCACATTGTGATGCTTCATTTTCATATATTTTAAATATCATTTACTCCTGTCCCTAGATTTCCTTTTTTATTTTTTGCCATTTCTAGGAAGGAATTCCTCTCAGTGAGGGTGATGAGGCATGAGCAGAGGTTGGGGCTGCCCCATCCCTGGAACTGTTCACAGCCAGGTTGGATGGGGCTTGGTGCAGTCTGGTCTGGTGGAAGGTGTCCCTGCCCATGGCAGAGGTGGAAATGAGATGGTCTTTAAGGTTCCTTCCAACCCAAACCATTCTGGGATTCTAATTTTTTTTTTTTCTCACAGTGCCACAGCATCTGTAATCTCCCCCTGTCCTTTCTGTCACTTGGTCTTTATACCAGTGGTCCCTTACTGGCACTGTGGCATCCTTGGTGCAGTGTTTACATCACAGGGTTTGAAACCAAAACACCTAAGTTTTCCTCTTGCTTCAGTGATTTGTTATGCTGCAGTAATGCACAGTGGTGTGCTGTCAGTGGGATTTGGCTGGGAGAGGTGTTTGGTGTGGAATTTGTAGTAGTGCCTGTAGTTGGCTGTTATTTACATACTGCTTGTACAGGAGGCATCAGTATATGGAAAAGCAAATTCCTAAAGGGTTTCCAGTTTTTCTGTTGAACTGTGAGATGAATAACTTGCCCTCCAAGTATGTATGTATGTGTATAAATACTTTTCTTATATGAGCCAGATTGTGGCCTTTTTTGCACTGCAATTCCAGAACAGATTTTCTAGCTGTTGTTCTACAAATGGCATCCAAAAAAAAAAGTAGATGAGGCCTTGAGCAACCTGATCACTAGGAGGTGGTGTCACTGCCCAGGGCAGGGGTTGAGACTGGATAATCTGTAAGGTCCATTCCAACCCTTAAATTCTATGATTCTATGATCCTACATGGTAACTCTTAGTATCAAGGAAGGAGTTTCTTCCTTCAGAAAGTTATTTTTTTCTGTGTATATACATGTACACACATGCATGTCTGTGGTTTATCTCAGCTGACAGGTGAGGATTGCCATAGATACTAGTGAAATAAGGTGTGATTTCTTACTAGAGAAATTCTTTAGGATGATGCATACTTGGATGCCAGATCAGGCACACACTGACCATGTGTACATCTATGGAAACGTAGTTGTTTTACAAACTAGTGCCACAGATTATTTTTTTTCCTACTGAGCTTGTGACACAGCTGCAGAGGGGAGATCTTCCTTCAAATGCTTGATCAAGATTCAGAATTGGCCTTTTGCTTACTATTTGCTTCCAGGTTAAACAGGGAATGGATGCTTTATTCCTGTGCAAACATACAACTCCCTGACAGGGGTTGGATAGAGGTGGGGGATTTCTCTCCTGCTATGGCTGCAGGGAGAGGACTAGAGGGAATGGCCATGAGCTGAGACAGGGGAGAGGCAAAGTAGATGTCAGGAAGAATTTTTTCCCTGTTAGGGTGTTCAGACCCTGGAATATTGCCCAGGGAGGTGGTAGAGTCACCATCCCTGGTAGTGTTTAAGAGGCATCTGGATCTGACACTGGAGGATCTGGTTTAGGGGTTACAGCAGTGACAGGTTAATGGTTGGACTCGATCTTAGAGGTCTCCTCCAACCTTGATGGTTCTATGATTCTATTCTGTGATTCTGAATGAAGTCTCTGGGTTTGCAACTCCTCCTTCCCCCCTTTAAACTGGAAGTTTTAAGAGTGGTTGTCAGAGAACCCTCCGGGCACTTGGATCATGCTATAATTATTCCTTGTATATTTTAAATATTTCTATCAAATTTTCCTCCTGTTCGGAATTTTCTCTCACAGTTTCCTTCTATTTAAATTTTGCTATCACATTATCCTTCTGTTTGACATCAGAACCTGCTGCCCAGGCTGCAGTGAAACCAATCCCTCTGATCTTTAGGCACCACCCACCTCCTGTCTCACGCACAGCAAGAAAGACAAGTCTGTGTGCTAAAAATGCGGCAGAAGCCAAATTCACTATACAGGAGGTCATTCCAGTGGTGAGTGCAGAACATGTACTTCTGCAATTCATGAATGGTTTGCATGTTGTTCAAGTTAGAACACAGCTCATCAGTACTAACTGGGGTAGTGATTCCAGGGATAAACTGCAGACACATCAAGGAACTTTTCCCACAGTCTAATCCCTTTTTAGAACCATTTATTGTTATAAAAGTTTTTTTCAGTTGAAAAAGATCAAAAGGGTCAAGGCTTTTAGAGCAGTTGAGGAATTTTGTTTGCAATTTACGCAGCTTCAGTATTAGCAAATGTGCAAAAAAATGTTCCTGCATAATTTTTTTGGAAGATACAATCTGGAATAGGTCCATACGAAAGCATTTTTTTGAAAGGAATTCCTCTCATATTTCTCTGGTTTCTCTCCAGAGGGATCTAAGATACTCTGAGGAGGAGCACAGCATTTTGCCCTTTCTCCACATTGCAAACCATGAGAAAAAACATCTGTTTGAAATCACATATGTTACTGAAGCTGCTAACCATCCCTCTGAGGTGCCAGAGCTGCTTATGAGCACCCTGGAAATCTCAGGGAAATGCTGGTGTCTGCAGCACAGCTCTGCTCTGGTTTCTCACTGAGAACAGGGTTGCACATAACATGATACATAAGGTTTATTATTGATTATTCAGCTCTGTGATTCTCATGTTATCCAATAATTTTTCCCTAGCTCAGTGTAAGCTCTATGCATTCTTCAGATCCCACAAGCCTGTGAATTTGCAAAATGAGAAACACACTGGGCTTAATGATTTTTGTGGTCCCCAAGTCCTATATTAACTATGTTTTTTCACCAAGAATAGTTGCACATGTTAAAGCTTGTCTCAATTTTACATGTTTTTACCCAAACTGTTTCTGTCTTTTCTGCTCCTGACATTTCCAACAAAAGCAAACAGAAGGGAGAAATAACTCAGCGTGGCATTGGAATACTTTCTCTGGTTTTTGGGTTTTTTTTAAACTTTCGTGGTATTCAGAGCAACTGTGGTTGGAGTTGTATTAAGCAGGAAGGGATATGTTCTGGCAAGGGCCCAGGAGGGAGAAGTGAGCCCTTCTCAGAGTCTTACACTTTACAGATGATTTTTACAAAGCAGCTCAATCCCTAGGCTGTATAAACTAGATAGCACTATGCAGATTGCTGGTTTTGAGGGAAGAGGAGAAGGAGTTCAGTTCATCACTGCTGGACATAACGATTCGTATTTTACCAAGTGAATTCATCTGGGTATGAACACAAAGAGATGTTTAGACTCAGTTAACAATGATTTCAGGCCATAAATCTCCCAAGGACCAGGTACACCCTATCAACCCCAAGACAAGAGACTGCACTTACGTTTGACAGTGCTGCGTGACTCCTGGAAGCCAGCAGACTCCGAACCCCAGCCCAGGGCTTCACACTCCTGCTCCTCCCCGTGCCCATGCCTGGCACTGGTGCCTGCACCCACTCTGCTCCTCTCTGGCAGCCAGCACAGCCTCCAGAGCCCCACGCTGCGCTTGCGCCCGTCCTCCAGCGTCTGGTACACCCAGTTGGGGGTGAAGGCAGCCGCGTTGTTGAGGATGAGTGAGACCAGGGCTACCAACACAGCTGTGGCTACCAGTTTCTGGACAGTCATATCTGACTGTCAGCTCGCTGCCAGTCTCTAGTTGCAGACGACACGAGGTCCCAGTCAGCTGCAGCACATTGAAACTGGGCTGGGAAGAGGCTGCTGCGCTGGGGTGTTACCAGGGGCTAGAGGACATCACCGTTCATTCTCGAAGTCAACTCCAGAGGGGTTTCTGGTCAAGGAAAGTAGAATTTTGTGAGGTAGGTAGGAGAATTCCATAAAATAAGAAGACGAAGAAGCTTTTCTAGGTCCTTCCCAGTGTTGGCTTATCCACCTTCTTGCACTTTGATAAGTAATGCCAGTCCCGTGGTGAACTGGACGACAGGGAGGTCCATTCCGTGTTGGATGGGGTGAATCCAGACAGAATCCAGGCTTGGGGCAGGAGAGCCTGAGCTGGGGCTGGGCACGGTGGGGGATGCTCTCCGTAGCCTGCCGAGCACCGCGTTCTCCGAGCCAACCGGCGCTGCTCCGAACGCTTGGGTTTGGGTGCAAACTTCAGAGTGTCCTGCCAACAGAGACAGAGCTCATCCTCTCAAACCAAGCAGAGCCAGAGGGGAATGGTCATCCCACAGGAGCTCTGCAAGTCTGGAGTATCTCAAGGAGGTTGCTGTGCCGTGTCGCTCTGCGAAGATCCGAGTGGCGAGTGCTGGGATGGGAACAGCCACTGCGGTGAGGAAAAGGCCCCCCCAGCTCCCCACCAAGAGGAAATGGCTGTTTTTGTGGCTGG